TTTGAGGCCCTCTTTAGTGGGAGACCCAAGCTAAATGGCCCTCCTGGACCATCCCCAAGACTGGTCCTGAGTCTAGGTAGGCTGCTCAGGGACTTGAAAAAATTGCATAATAATTCCATTGTTAGGTCAGCTTGACATCCACAGTTGGCACATTTACCTATCTATCAGCCTGCCTCCAGCTTCTCAGAGAGATGGATTAACTCCATCAATGGGGAAAAAACCCAGGGTAGGAAGTGCCTGGATACCCCACCACAGTTGCAGTGTAGAGCGTGTGCCTAGTATGGGGTATGTGATGGGGGTGTGTGTTGTATGCGGAGCAGTAATGACCTTTGGGTTAGTGTGTGTGGCTGTGGCTTTGCCTGGTCTACACACTTTTTGTGCTGCCTGGTATCACTATGTCACAAAGAGGTGTGAACTTTAACCAAACTGCACCAGCACACTCTCTAGAGGGAACAGTTACACTGGTATGAAAGATGCCTTACATGGTACAGCTCATCTCTCTTTCTAGAAGGGCGTCTGGAGCAGCCTATCTGTGGGGAGCCCGGGTGTGTCATGGACAAGGGCTACTCCGGCGGGGCCTGGGTGCCAGGAGCCTGTGGCAGCTGCAGCTACAGCATGGAGTGGAGCCCTGTGGACTGAGGGCTGCTCCAGCCGGACTGGAGAGGTTCCCAGCCTGGATCCCGCTTAACTGGTTAAACATTAGGCTAACCTAACGATTAAGTGATTAACCGGGATTTTACATCCCTAACTAATGGAACTACACCGGTCAGGTGTGTGAAAAATCCACACCCCTGAGTGCCACACTTAAATTGACCTAATCCCCCTGTAGACAGCGAAAGGCCGACAGAAGAATTCTTCCGACCATTTACCTACTGTCTCTTGGAGAGGTGAACTACTAAGCCAGTGGGAGAAGCCCTCTGTCAGCATAGGGCATCTGGCACTACAGCAGTGCAGCCACAATATTCCTTATTTTAAGAGGAATAAGGGATCTTTCAGAAAAGGCTTTATTTTCCGAAAGACCCCCGTCTAGACTGGCGCTTTTTGCCAGCAAAGCTCCGAGCCGGAAAAAAGCGGCAGCCATGTTTATGCAAATGAAGCGAGGGGGATTTAAATCCCCACTTCATTTGCAATTGCCATGAGTCTAATTTGCATCCCTTTTACGGAAAAGGGATGCAGTCTAGATACAGCCCTTGTGTGCTGTGTAGCACAAGGGAAAAGCATAATAAACTAATGGTGTGGTAGCGGACAGCAAGTGGTTTTATTTCAGTGTCAGAAGGATGCCTTGCCCTTGTTAACTAGCCTTTAGTATTAGTATTTTATTTATATAGCACCATTGCTGTGTATTAGAACCCTAGGGCTACGTCTAGACTGGCTCCAAATTCCAGAAAAGGGATGCAAAGCAGGTAAGTCAGCATAGGGAAATCCGCGGGGGATTTAAATATCCCCCACGGATTTCAATAAACATGTCCGCCGCTTTTTTTCCGGCTTGGGGAAAAGCCGGAAAAAAAGCGTCTAGACTGGCGCGATCCTCCGGAATAAAGCCCTTTTCCGGAGGATCTCTTATTCCTACTTTCAAGGCCGGAAAAAAAGCGTCGGACATGTTTATTTAAATCCGCGGGGGATATTTAAATCCCCCGCGGATTTCCCTATGCTGACTTACCTGCTTTGCATCCCTTTTCCGGAATTTGGAGCCAGTCTAGACGTAGCCAACCAGTCTGGGAGCAGTAGGAGCCTGTAGACGGTTATGAATCAAATGAGACCCCTCTTTTTATTGCTAATTTGCCCATGGAATTACACATGCTCTCAGGCCGTAGAGGGCAGTAAAGGCAATTTAAGCCCACACACTGTACAATTAGGTAATAGTGTTTTATTCCTGCAGATTTATTTCTACCCAGCTGTCTGAACACTCTGGCACACACCTGCCACATCTTATCATTGGGAGGAACCCTGCCTTGTTTTGGATTAAGTCTAAGGCAGTTTTATGTGAAAACGGTTCCCTATTGGGAGGAAGGATTTTGCTTGTGAGGGTTACAGTGAGACATTTGAAATCTCACACATAGGGTGGGGTTTTTTTGCTTTTGGAAATCTAGCTGTCCACCTGCTGAAGTAATCACACAGCACGGATGCCCCGCTAGCCCTCCTGATAATAGAAAAGTGGGGGCATCTAGCAGAACCCCAGAAAGATATTTAAGGGTTTGATTTGCAGAAGGGTTGTGCACCCAAAACGCTGGCTGGTTTTAGGGGGCGTTGTGGTACTTAGCACTTATGAAAATCAGGTCCCTGATCCTGGAAAGATGTGCTCATAGAATTCACTTTGCCAAGTAGTAAAGTTAAGCAGCTCCGTAAACGCTGGCAGGACAGACTTTATCTCATGGGCGAGGGCAAAGAGAATGAAAACATCCTGGCTGTGTCTAGACTGGCCAGTTTTTCCAGAAAAACTTGCCAGCTGTCTACACTGGCCTCTTGAATTTCTGCAAAAGCACTGACTTCCTACTGTAAGAAATCAGTGCTTCTTGCAGAAATACTATTCTGCTCCCGTTCAGGCAAAAGTCCTTTTGCGCAAAAGGGCCAGTGTAGACAGCTCAGATTTGTTTTCCACAAAAAAGCCCCGATCGCGAAAATGGCTGAAAAAGTGCTTTTGCAGAAAAGCGTCAGTGCCAATCTAGATGCTCTGTTCTGAAAATGCTTTTAACGGAAAACTTTTCCGTTAAAAGCATTTCCGGAAAATCCTGCCAGTCTAGACACAGCGACAGAGAAAGACCAATGCCCAGAGACACCCAGCTTGCAACTGGTGTAGTACTTCTTGCACAAAACTGACGACTGCATAAGAGGTGCACTTGGCATAAGGTTAGGCTAACAGAGAGCTCTGCTTTGAGAGAGGAGAATTGCCCATAGCCCACTGGACACAGTACAGATAATAAGTCCATGTGCTGGGCAGGGAAGTGCTACCCAACCAAGCTGCAATGTTAAAGGTGGCTGATGGGAGTGGGGAAGAGACAGGAATTTCCTTGGTAAATGCCACATCTACGGACGGAGCCCTTCCCCAGTCTGGCTTGTGAAGCATTTTGAAAAAGTTATTTAATCAGGCCCACGCGGATGTGTGTGTGTGTGGAGGGGAGGGCACAGGGACTCACCCGCACATGTGGCTCCCGGCGACACGTAGGCCCCCAGCATCCACACGGTCCCAGCCACAGCGGGTATCCCTCAATGTGGGGCTGTTGGCTTCCGCTTTCTGTTACCCCAGATGGGGATGGGGGATCCCAGCACGAGGACACCAATGTAAGCGGGTGGGGCATCCCCAGGGGGGGACATGGGGATGTCAGGGGGAAGACTCAGTTGCCTTTCTTTTGTAGGATCCTGGTTTGTGCCTGGGCTCCTGGCCACAGGGGAAGACACTATCAACTTGCATGCACTGTACTGCCAACCCCAAGACCTGGGCAGGGCAAGATGTGGCCCAGGGTCTGGATCCGGCCCACCGAACACTTTGATCCAGCCCGCGGACAGCACCTGGCCGCTTTCTATGTATATCCTGCTGCCCGAGCCACCGAGTTTCCAGGCTGCGGCTCAGGCAGCAGGATCCTATTTCAATGGCTCCTGATTGCAGCGCTACCCCAGAGCCACGAGCCCTTTAACTTGCCACTGCAATCCCAAAGTTGGGAGCTGCGAGTCCTTTGTTGTGTTTTAATTCAAAGCCTCTGGCCCCAGACAACTCCGGGGAACGCTAGTCTCCAGGCCCCGCCCCTTCCACCCAGGCCCCGCCCCTTCCAGGGAGGGGGTGTGTGGAGCTAGCCCGTGATGGTACCAAAATTCATTAAGTGGCTGCTTTGTGGAAATTATTGCCCACCCTTGCCCAAGACACATGCATCAGCTCCCCCAGCGCCCAACAGAGAATGGCTTCTTGAAATCAAAGAAAAACACTTGGGGATCTTTGTATTTGGCTCTCCACACACCGCGCGAGAGAACGTCTTCCTTTAAAAGAGGAAGGCGGCTGGCGCGCTCTTCTAGCACCAGGCACCAACAAATAAGCACAGTCTGCTAAGTCAGCGCGATCACCGTTGATAGCAGGGCAGGAGGCATCAGGGAATGACGTTCCCAGATCTGGCTTAATTCTAATAACATGGCTGGGGCTTTCCGGGGGGGAGGGGAGGGACGAGGGGAAGCCCCCGTTATTAGAAGGCTTGTGAGAGTTGACGTCACTGCTCGCTAGTCAGTTTCACAAAATGAGTTACAAGTTTCACAGCTCACACCTCCCCCAGGCCCCAGGCACATGCCGGAGCTAGCAGCCAGAAACCACTCTGGCCCTGCTGCGTGGCCGGGGGTGGGGTGGGGGTGTTAAATCATCCAGGGGCAGTTGGTAGGGCTGGGGAGGTGCCCAGGGCAGGGGGGGTGTGGGCCAGCAGCCCAGGCTGGGGCCAGGAGACATAGGGGTATGCCTGAAAACCCCTGTCCCCCCATAGCCCTGCCAGAAAGGGGTACCCAGTGGCCTGCTTTTGAGGACTGACACCGGCCCTGAGATAAATTGAGTGTGAGACCCCTGCTCTCAAGCCATTCATTTCAGCTGCCTTTTACCCACCCGTCAGCCCACACTTTTCCCGCTGGGCCCCCCATTTGTTCCAAGGGTGCCAGGTCCATCCACTGCCAAGCTTGTGGGGTGGGGTGGGGGCTAGAACGCTTGACCTCTGGCTCCGGAGCCAGGTACCTCCTTTAGGACACGCCGTGTAGCCTCCGGCTTAGGCACCAAGGGGTTTTGCTGCAGGTTTCGGGGATGCCATTCGCATTCCGGCTCCGTTGGCGTGGCCTGCACCTTGCCTGCCCCGTGGGGCAGCTAGCGCAAGCCGGCCCCATGTGCCAGGCAGAGCGGTCCAGCAAGGGCCCTGCCCGCCCTGCTCACACAGATTTTCTTGCCACCTGGGTCAGTGCATTTCTCCCAGGCGTCAGCAGATGTCCCCCCCGGTTCACATCTCAGCCCATCTCCTCTCCCCACGCACTGGGCATGCTCAGGCCTCAGAGCCCAGAAAAGGGATCCCTTTGACCCAGAAGTCGCCTCTGCTCTTCTTTGCACACGCAGCTGTTCTTGGCTCGCCTATATAAAGCCAGCGCGCTCACCGGGGTCCCTTTCTGCCCTCTCCCCTCCTCCGCCGGGACTCTCCTAGCAGCACCATGAGCTCCGTGGAGGCGGCTCGGCCTATTTTCCTCCAGGGAGAGAACTGCAAGCCGTCATGGAAGGAGGCAGCAGCTGGCTTCAATCAGACGGACACCCACTTAGAGATCTTAGGCAAGCCGGTGATGGAGAGATGGGAGACCCCTTACATGCACTCTCTGGCTACGGTCGCAGCATCCAAAGGTAAGTAGGTCCCTCCCAGCTGTCTGCACGGGGGCATTGACAGGCGCTAGCAGTTTGGGGGTCCACGGGGGGATTCTATCTGCAGGCGGTTTCTGCCCTTCTCGGGGCTGCCGGTTGTTCTCCGCCAAGATGAGCTTCCCAAAGGTGAAACAGCCTCACGTTTCGGTGCAGTTGGGAACCAAGAGGCGCCCCAGTGAGCAAGCGGAGCTGGGACTCCATGCGGCGCGGCGTTCCGGGTAGCGTGCAGCTCCGGCATGCAAAACAGCGTGTCACTGGCTAAAGGGTGAGAACACTAGAACTAGACGGGCTCTCGAGAGGTTATGGAGTCCGGTCCCCTGACTCCCGGCCGGACCCAGCATCCCTGATAGATGCCTGTCTAACCTGCTCTTCACTATCTGTTCATGTCTTAAATATGGTTCGACATATTGTTCAACTGGTTAACGGCCAGAGAGTGGGGTGTCCCAGGAGTAGCCCCCTGCCCGCAGCAAGTGGAGCGCTGCTCCAGCCCCCACCGGTTAACCTTAACTGGTAAACTTCACCCATTAAGGGGGAGGGTTACCGGTTAATCTGTTAAACGGTCACCCCCCTGGGGCACCTCAGCCACGAGATAGAGAGCAGTTTGCGGACATGGCTGGGGATGTGCGGGAAGCAGGGGGGTGTTGGGATCTTGCTTCAGTCGACAGTCCCCTTGTCGTTTTCACAGCACCAACTGAGTGTGTTCAAAGATAGCTGCTGCCTGTTAGAAATTGAAAACTGTTTTCTCTATCAAGAGGAGCCAGGCTTTGCAGCCCCCGAAAGGAACTGAGAACGTAACAAGCGTTTCCTCCCAGGCTGAAGTCTGGCATAGCAGAAAGCCGGTAGCTCTTTGCAATGAGCGCCGCACCGAAAGCATGTCGGTTTTCGAAAGTTCCGCTGAAGTCTTTGCTCCTGTGTGGTTAGCGGGACTTAGAGCGAGTCTTGGTCTGTGCTTTATGAATGGATTCTCTGCGGGATTCAAAGAGAGATGGAAGTCAGAGGGAAACGTGTGTTTTGAGCACATCACTACAGTGTGCCAGGTCACTTAACGAAATAGTTAGTCTCAAGAGAGGGAGATTTCAGATTATGGCTTTGGGCTTTCATGCTACACCGAGGCCTCTATTGTATATGATTTTAGCACAGCCTCAAAGATAAGGTTCAGGGGGAGAAGTCAGGCCTGTGGTCACTTTTTAATCTCAAGTCAAGAGATCACCAATGGTGCATAAATCATCTGTCCGTTTTCCTTCGGGTTCGCTCTTCTCTCTCATTTTCACTGCGGGCACCAGGCAAACCCACGTGCTCCATTCGAGCCCAGGTTAAGAATAGCACTACTGTAACAGTAGCCGCAGTAAGCAGCTGTGCAGAAGACACGTTTCCAAATAGCTTGAGTCCCCCGAAGGGCAAGAGAGGGGGAAGGGAGCTCTTCAGGGTGGCGCTTGTCGGGTGTGGGGGAGGCTGATGTTACAAAGATCTCAAGTGCTCGTCTTGATCTTTGGACTCTTTAAGAAAAAAATGTGTCTGAGCCAAAGCTGATTGAAACCAAGGACAGACTCACACAGGCTGCAGGAAACCAGGGCAGAGGCTCGAAACTCTCAGACGGGGGCGCGGAAGGGAGGTTTAGGGGCATTTCTACGAGCAGTGAATTGTTACCCGAGAAAGAAGGCAGAGGTTCATTGGTTTTACAGGGTGGCAGGTTGCTGGAGGAAGGACTGCCCATCCCCTTCCCAGCAAAAGGGGGTCAGAGGCAGGAGTTTATACCCCCTACGCAAGGGCACTGAGTCCATCCTACGAGGTCCATGCGGATCATGAACCTTCCAGAGGTTCTCAGATTCCTCCTCTCCATTTCTCCTCCTGGGCAGTTGCTGGGTTTTCTACCCTGCTAGGCCGGGCCCCCAGGAACCGGGAGGCAGGGCTTAAGGGAGAGGAGGAAGGAGAGATGTGGTTAGAGCCAGAGCAGACAAAACCAGACTAACAAATCATTGCACCCCGTTTTCCAAGGCAGCTTTACGTTAGCTGGCTAGGCCGGCCCCTGGGTGGTGATTCGTGGCTCGCCTTGACCTTCCTTTATTTTTCTAAGTTCACGTATTGCTAATTCCCCGGCTTGAGAATGGATGCATCACGCAGATATGGGACAGGTTCAGCGGTGGGCAATAATTTTCACAGGGGGGCCACTTCATGAATTTTGGTACCTGGTTGTGGGCTGGCTCCCCCCCCGGAAGGGGCGGGGCCTGGGAAGAAGGGGCGGGGCTGAGGACTAGCCCCTCCCCCCGGGTTTTCTGGGGCTGGAGGCTTTGAATTAAAAGCACAGCAAAGAATTCGCAGTGCCAGGCCCCGCCGCGACCACGTAGCCTGGCAGCCACCTGGCTATTTAAAAGGCTTGCAGCTTCGACCCCAGCCGAGGTAGCACCACAGCCGGGAGCCGTTCAAAGAGGATCCTGCTGCCTGAGCCACTGCCTGGAAATTCGGTGGCCAGGGAAGCAGGAAATAAACAGAAAGTGGCCAGATGCAGTTGGTGAGCCGGATCAAAGCGTTAGGTGGGCTGTAACCAGCCCCCGGGCCGCATTCCACCCAGTCCTGCTCTACATGCTACCAACAGGACCCAGCCCTGACCTGGAAGGGTTCCCTCTAGGGGTAAGAGAGATTTTTTCAGTCTCCACGGCCGAGTGTGCCAGGAGAGGGGATCCGGCTAGCGCCAGCTGTAACTCTGTCGCTCCCCAGGTGGCCGGGTGCTGGAAGTGGGGTTCGGCATGGCCATCGCGGCCACCAAACTGGAAGAGTTCGACATCGAGGAGCACTGGGTCATCGAATGCAACGAGGGCGTCTTCCAGCGGCTGCAGGAGGGGGCCCCCAGCCAG